TTTGATAAATTGAATATAAACCATTATTTTCGGATAAGTCAAGATTTGGAAACGCTCAAGTCTAGCTCTAGCTCTAAAGCCTCTTTAGCATGTACTTTTCCCTGGGCATTGCGATCTTCGCTATATTATTTAAGTTTGGATACTTGCAAAGGAGCAGCTTAAAGCAAATCAAGAGTGAATATCGGAAATCAACTCTGTGAACATATATAAACCTAATTGCGTAAATTGTCGCTTACAAAAAATATATTTGCGAGTTTATTAAGGGCCAAAAATATGCGTTTGTCTTAATAGACTAATGGGGTCTACTACTTTTTCTGCCATCATTTTTCATTATGGCTATAAAATATAAACTGATATTAAATTTTTTCTTTTCGATTTGGTATGGTTTGATTTAAAACTTTCAGATACCCTGTTTGCAGCTCTGCCCGATTATTAAATATTTAATAGTACTTAAAATTTAATACTACTATTTCAAGTTCCTCAGATGAAGTTGAGCCAATTGAATATTACATAGCTAACTGTGCTATGTAGGCACAGCTACTCCCCTCTACAATCTCTTGTTACATACACATTTACAACTCAAGCAATGCTCTTTTTTACCCATTTCAAATGGGCATAGGGTATAAAGAGCATGTATTAAAATGGTTGTTTCTGCTGCATACAAAATCAGTGTGTGACAACGACCTCAACACGTCGCCTGTTGGTAGCCCTATGCCTTGTCTGGCCACACTCAAACAAATGCCATGGGCCGCGGCAGCTGCATCCACACACCCACACACACACACACACACACACAGACGAGTGCGTGTGAGTGTGTGTGTGTGTGCCCAATTGTATGCAACGGCTTTTGTGTCAAATTTTTATGCCATGCATAGCACGCAAACGTGTGCGAAAACGTAGACCCAAAACTACAGACACTCTGCAGCAACAGCAGCAACAACAACAGCAGCAACAACAACAACAGGCTGCGTAGTAAATTGAAAGACCGAAGACAGAAGTGGTAGACATGCTCGGTAGAGGCAGAGGGGGCAGAGCACAGTAGAGTCGATGGAGGAGCACAGTGATTCAATTAAATCAGTCCAATTGAAGCAACTGACAAAATGTCTGTGCGTGTGTGTGAGTGTGAGTGTGTGTGTGTGTGTTTGGGTTTGGGTGTGTGTACGGAATATTTAAGCTGGCTGAGGCTGAGGTCCTGCAGCAGGACATTGACTGCCGTAGTCGGTGCAGTCGGTGTTTAAATTTCAGCTTAAAGTCCGACTCACTCGTTAGCAACAACAACTACAACAACAACAACAACTTCATTGTCAGGGCACCGGCTCGGGCCAAATGTTGCTCCGAAAAAGTTGTCGCTTGTCGCATTTTATACAAATAACTGCACATTATGTTTGCGCAACACTTGCGCAACATTTTTTAATGTCTCGACACTTTTTGCCACATGTTGAAATCAACGAACCGGCCAACAACAGCAACAACAACAGCAACAACAACAACACGTCCCATCGGCTGTGACTTCTGTCGGCTATCGTATTAATATCTCAATTTATAGCAATTTATAAAAATATGAAACACGCCGATAGGCTTCAAAAACGTTGAACGTTGAAGGGGGGCGCCAACAAACGTCAGAATGATGCAAATAACATTTAAAAGCATACATATACACACATACATATATATTTAAATATTTTTTATTTTTTTCCACTGTTTGGCCATCGCCAGTTGGAGCTAACGAAGGCAATGGAGCCGCCACTGGGGACTCTGAGCGGAATCATTTTAGCGCAGTTGTTCGCTTTAAGCGAGGGGGCTTTAAGCGAAGCTGTTGCACAATAGATTTTAGATATATGAAATGCATGAGAGTAGAGAACGGTCTTTAACGAGAACGGCCAAATAGATTTGTAGTAAATTTACAAATTCTGACAATGTGTTCACACATCAAGTTTGCCAGTTATTCGTTTTCATTGTGTAATTTCAATCACTCGGTTCCACTGTGCACTGCCTTCTGCTGGTGGAGGCGAAACTTTTTAGCAACGAGCATTTTCTGTGTGAAAATCACTCAAAATTGTGTTTAACTAAGCGTAAAAATTATAAGCAAATTAATTTGCAAAATCACAACAACAATAGTTAGTTGGGCGGTTCCAGCAAAACTTTTGTGAAACAATCAGCCGAGCAGCCCCGACACTCCGGCTAGTTCCGTTGGGATTCATTCTACGTCCTTGCCTCGGCCTG